TTTCCCTGTTGACATCTGGTCAGTAACATGCGGATAACACTAAAGATGTATAATCGATAATCAGCACTTCATAAAACTCAAGCATTAACAACCAGATAGATTAAGAAGTTTTCGGTAATTTTTATTATTATGGGTTTTAATTAAGTAATGGGCTGGGTGATTAATTACTTAACGTTTGAGTTTAGAGGAGTTTAGGAATAAAATCCCGTGGCCCGAGGGTATTAACCCTAGGGCTGGCTGACGGTTGTAAGGCTCGGAGTCGGGACTTGGGAGGGTTGCCGTCAACCCTCTTCCTTATTTAAGGGACGTTTTCTTCAGCAACAAGACTATCATATGTTTGATTAGAAAAATAGGAGGCTCGAACCCACCTCGTACCGAGTTCAATGGATCCCCGAACTCTGAAAGACCGGGAAAACTTGTTCGTTGACAGATCTAGGTTCTATCACTAACCTAGCCTTCAGAATCATAAATTTATCAAAGCACAACCGGTTTTGCATCATGACACGGAGACACAAGACACAGAGCCAAGACAACTTGCAATATTAGGACAAGGTAACACTCAGTTAACAAAAAAGGAAAGGTGAAACAACAAATGAGGGATCAGTACCTAAACAAATATGGCCATTGCTGTAAATATGAGGATGCAGCGGCGCTGGAGGAACAAAAACCACCTGCTCAGCAAAAAGCACCGAAAAAAAAAACTCACAACAAGAAGAAAGAAATCAAAATATTGCTATTTCCTCTTATTACTAACTATAAGTAGGAGTAACACAGGAAAGATAAATAAACAACCACTTGATTCAACTACTCATTAATCAAGTAACAACCCAAAGTGCTCAGTACAGAACTAAACACAAGTTGCTATTTCCAATCCGATTTTCTTTGTCATTTCAGAAATTTTCTAGCTAACCAAACAGAACATGAAAAAAAGGATATAACAATGAGACAGTTCATGTCCTAATCAACATGTCCTTCAGGCTTCAGCTAACCCACAATCCCAATGAAATATCACACACACCTACTTCCACAAGTTCTATTTCTGATCCAATTTTCTTTGTCATTCCAGAAATTTTCTAGCTAACCAAACAGAACATGAAAAGAAGGATATAACAATGAGAGAATTCATGCCCTAACTCAACATTTCCTTCAGCTAACCCACTATCCCAATGAAAATATCACACACCTAATCCCACAAGGCCTATTTCCAATCCGATTTTCTTTGTCATTCCGTAAATTTTTTAGCTATCCAAACAGAACATGGAAAGAAGGATATAAAAATGAGAAAATCCATGCTCTGATCAATACTTCCTTCAGCTAAGCCACTATCCCAATGAAAATATCATAAACACCTACTCCCAAAAACCAGAATTTTTCATCAGTCCAAACAAAACGATCTAAAAACTATTCATTTAGCCAATGATAACTGATAAATAGAAACCACAACCGAAATTCATGAATACGATTCGGCGATTCAGAACAACACAAACTTTATCATAAGAATAAGCATCCAAGGAGACGATAAAAACCCTTTTTCCCCATCATAAACCAAAAACATTCGACGAATCCAAAAACAGGAAAAAGAATATTGAAAAACATAAAGAATTGAGATCACTTACCTGAGGCGCTTCCATGGGGTAATGTTCTGGAAAATCAACTTGAAGCTGATAAGTTTCGTTCGTATACAACGTCCCCGGTGCTCCAGTAACTTCGATTGTCCATCTAAATTCCCCGAAACAAACGAAATTCATAAATAAATAAAAAACGCTCAATCGATCGCAATTCCCCAAAAAAAAACTTAAATACAAGCGAAAAGGGAATTGGGATTTTACCTTTGAAGATTATCGGTGACTTTGTGCTTAAATCCAGTGGGAGGATTCACTTGCCACTCCGCTAATTCTTTCTGCAACCTATTGCACGCGATCTTGCTTAACGCCTAAGCATGAAACACCGATTCAGAGTTTTTTATTTCAAAAATCAAACGATGTCTGAAATCGAAGAACACGCGCGAAAATGGATACATGCAGAGAATCCAGAGAAAGAGACCTTGCGTGAAGGACCGGAAGAGCTGGTCATGGCGTGCGGAGGGGGGGGGCAGAGAGAGAGAGAGGTATTGTCCGAGCTGCTTTACTCTCTCTCGGTTATATTAAATTTTAAATAAACAAAAAAACACAAATGAAATAAAAAGACGCGTAATTCATTAAAATTACAAGACAGCCACTGAATCTGACGGCCATAAAGCCCTCCATCTTGTGCTGACGTGTCTAATCTCGACAGTCAAAATGTTATCGGACGCTTTTGTCTCTGCGGACATTGAAGAGTCAAAATGTGCCACCATAACTATTTTAAAAAAAATTATTATGTAATTTATTTCATTACAGGATCTTCTGCAAATCGGCCACAATATAAATATATTATTTCACGGATTCGATACAAATCCAAAAAAATTTCCAACGCGCAGATATATTACTAAAAATATTTATATTTATTTCAAAAAAACTTTAAGTTTTTATACTTTATTTTTATTCTCAAAACCAAAAAAATTCGTATACAAAACTAGGGGTGGGCATTCGGTTCGGGTATTTCAGTTATTAACCGAACCGACCGATATATACCCGAACTGAATCGAACCGAATAAAATTAAATAACCATTTGGTTATGAATTTTTAAAACTCGAAATAACCGAACTCGAACCGATTAAAAATTATTAACCGTTTGGTTAGAAATTTTTATAAACCAAATTAACCGAACCCGAACCGAACTATTTATATATCTTCATTTATATATATTTATATACATATATGAATGTTTATATTCTTGATTTAATCATTGTTTTATTATATTTTAAACGTATTTTATCATTGTCATTATTGTTATTGTTTTTAAAGTTTGTGTGATATAAATATTAAAAAAATATATTTATTTAATAGTTTTATATCAAAATATAAATTTAAATATTATTATTTTATATGTTAAAATAATTATGATAATATTTTATATTATATTTTATTTGAATATTTTTTAATTATAAATGAATTGATTTTTTAAATATTATAACCGAACCAAAACCGAACCGAACCGAATTTTTATTTGGTTATAGTTTGGTTATAGTTTTAAATAAACAAAAACAAGCCGAACCGAACCGAACCCGAATCAGACCGAACCGAATAAAATTAATTAACCGTTTGGTTATGAGTTTTAATAACCCGAAATAACCATAACCGATTAACCCGTAACCGACCGTTCGCTCAGCCGGTCAGCCCTATACAAAACATATTATATTCGAAAACACATAACATCCGAACATTCATATGATATCTGAATATTTAAAATTCGTATAATTTCCTTATATCTAACGGTAGGTAAAGCGACGACTATATTAACATTAATTACAATTTTTGTAAGGTTAAAACTATTTTTGATAAGGTCTAAACTATTTTTTTTAGCTAAGCAAGTGTACTAAACCAAGATTCAAATTAATATAAGAATCGAATTCAAAACTAAACCATGTAATTTGAAATATACGTTTTTTTTTTCAAATTTGAGATTCAAACTCGAAATAAGATCGACATTTTGAGTTTCTATTTCACTGATTGAATTGGATTGATCTAGACTAATTCTATTTGTCTATCAAGAGTTTTCACCGAACAATGTACTTTTTAATATTGGGTGTGTCAATTTTAAGTCACTTACATTACATCTGCTTTTTGTTTCGTAAAGATGTTGGATTTGATCAAGTGGTGGTTCGATTATACAAGTTAACGTTCCTTTTATCTAAGCCTTTGTCAATCGGACCATCCCAAGCCCACACTCGACCCGAAGATTTCGGGCTCGAGTTCAGACTGATCCGATTTTTTTGGACCATATCATCCTGAAGTCCGGTTCTATAGATATTAGATCCGACCCGCATAATTTTCTTTGTAAATATTTTTTTATTTAAGATTTTTTTAAAAAAAATATCGGGTTTTTCGGACCGATCTAAATTGACCCTAAAGCCCGAATCGAGTCCAACACAAAAGGCTAAAAAAATATGGATCTTAATATAAACCTGTTATTTTTCAAGGTGGGCTGACCGGGTTTTAGAGGTCGGACCAAAATTGACACCATAGTCTTTTGGGCCCAGGCAAAGTTCATGTACTCAATTCTAAATGGGCCTTTACTGGACCCAATATCATTTTATGGACCGCGATATCACCCCAAATAGCATCTTGTTGACCCAATAAGTATTATCACCTTTCATCATACATATGCCAAGATCATGTCCCCAATTAGCTTATAATTTTGAGACATTAGTTACTAAATTTTCACAAAGCTAATACAATGCCACTGAGTGGTGAGTAGTGCCAATTTTTTAGTTTCCTTCATCCGAACATATTTCCCTGTGCGGATGTCCAACGTTATTGGGCCGTGATCCGGCCCAATACCTTTTATGGGCCCTAATGTGGCCTAATACTTTCATTGGGCCCCACATAATTTTGCGGGCTTTGGTCAGGTCTAAATCTAAAAACAATTTGGGCTTTATAATTTGCAAGAGCGGACCATTTTGGGAGAAAACCACGGCGCCTATTTTATTTTATTTTATTTTTTTTTGTTGCATTTCGGATTCGAATGTTTTGATTTTATACAAATTATAACCATTCGGTTTGATTTCTTTTAGTTTTATTTTGATTTGAGTTGGGTTTTTATTGATTAAAATACTTATTTAAAAAATCGGTTGTTTATGTTATTTTTTATTCATTTCCATTTGATTTGGTTCCGATGTGGTTTTTATAACTTAAAATAAATTATAACTGTTCAATTTTTATATAGGATTCGAATCTATTATGTTTAGGCATTATTCAGTTCAAACCGGCTAGATTATTCAATTGTTAACAAAATTGGTTACTTCTCTGGAATAGTTGTACGAGACAAGACATGTGAGGAACCAAAGTACAAATAACGTGAACGAGGCATAACGTCAACAAATACAGATGCAATGTATTCCAATACAGACGATCATCGTATGTGTACAGCCAAAATACGTATCCCGAGATTTCCGTATTTTTCACTTCTCCCTCAAGACATGGGGGACTAAATCGAGCGAAGTAAAAAACAGGACGTAGAAAGCGTATACAACGCCCAAAATCTCTTGCTACTTTTTTCTCGCCGAGAAAAAAAAATAATGTATTACGGATATGTACGACGTGTAAATACTATCTTAGATTAGGAAAATAATTTTATACGATTTCTGGATCTAAATTACTTGAATTTGTACTTGAACAAATCAAATCAAATTACATTGGATCATTCGGAGTCAAATGAATTAGTTTTAGAATTTATGATTATAAATTTGATATCATGCGAATTTGTCACTCTTTGAGTGATTTATCTGTTCTACGTGTTTGCATGTAGAACCGAGTTTATCACCGAAAAATTATTGTTATAAAAAAATAAAAAAATAAAAAAAATACATTGGGACCATCATGTTAATAGACCCAACTACCAAATACCAAACTCCCCCACCCAAAATCTCGAAACGGCTCTATTGTTCATATCCACTTTTCGTATCATGCATTATTATTTTCTCCTTTTGTATTCACCTCATCTCTCTCTTGAAAATATTTCAATTTATTTATACCCCTTTTTTCTCTCTTGAAAGAATTAGAAAAACTCAAGAAAATTTTTTTAAAAAAATGGTGGATTTCCTAATTACCATTACAATGATAGGTGTCGTATCATGGGCTTTGATATTTATGGTCACAAGAAGAATTTTTTCGAAACGTTCATTCGAATTCAGCAACAGGTTGGTCTCAACACTTCATGCCATAGTCAGTGTCTCTTTGGCATCTCTCTCTGTTCAAGATTGGGGTTGCCCTCTTTGTCCCTTGGCTTCAAAATCATCTCCTCAACAGGTATCTTGTGTGTGTATATACATATGTATATGTGTATTGATTTCGTATTTATGGGAGTTTCATAATCTTTTTTTGCAGATGAAGACTTTGGCGTTTACGTTGTCGTACATGATCTACGATCTGATATGTTGTCAATTCGATAAGCGAGTCGTTCTTGATAATGTTGTTCATCATTTGGTTACCATTGTTGGCATTGTCTCTGGACTTTCCTACCAAAGGGTATAATCCTATGATCTTTGTCTCAAACAAGTTCGGTTTTCGTCCTAATATATAACTAGGGCCGTACAGGCCAAATACCCGAGTTTTTCGGTGAATCCGACCTCAGTCTCACCCGGTTCAGATTTTTCGGTCGGAAAATCGATCTCAAACCTCGTAAAGGATATCCGGTTTCCCGAATTTTTTATACCCTCGCCCTCTCTCCCATGGCCCGAATTACCAATAGGCATGGATACACGCCGGTCAAAACCCGAACCTAAACCCGAATATCAATTCTTACCATCGACCGACCCGTACTCATCCCGTCAAGGATACTCATCAAGGACAAATAATACACACAAGTCCATGATACGTTTGAGGTTTTCTATCAAAGAATGAAATTAAGTACACATCGGAGAACTGTTAATAATGTTTTTTTTTTCTTTTTGTTAATGAAATATGTGACGGAAATGAAGTGTGGAACAGAGATGGTGGCTGCGTTATGGATAACAGAGATATCGAGTCCATTTCTCCATCTCAGAGAGCTTCTCAAAGAGTTTGGTTACAGAGACACTTGCCTCAATCTTGCTGCCGACGTGAGCTCAATTCAAATTCTCTACATACATACATACATACATACATACATACATACATACATACATACATACATACATACATACATACATACATACATACATACATACATACATACATACATACATACATACATACATACATACATACATACATACATACATACATACATACATAATCTCGTATTGGAACAATATCATGATCAAGTGAAAACAGGTGTGTTTTGCAATAATCTTCTCATTAGCGAGAATGGTGGGAGGGCCTTGTCTCACTTACGCGACTCTATCATCTCCTAATCCCTTCCTCATCAAGGTACTCACTCTCTTAATTATTTATTTGATCTAATCTTCTTTATTTGCAATTTTATTATTAGAGAATTCAAATATCTAATCCCTTTTCAGCTTTTAAGTATGGTTAACCTTCAACTAGGGTCGATATTCGGGGTTTCGGTTGTAATCAGGGTTTGAATTTCAGGCAATGGCATTGGGCTTACAGCTGGTGAGCGCGTTTTGGTTCTACAAAATCCTAAAGATGATGAAACATAAACTCAAGAAAAGATCCCACTTCAGACCACAAACCAAGTCAAACTAATTGTACAACAAATATTGTGATCTCAATATATATATATAAATAAATATATATAAAGATCAAACGTAATCACTTCTCTATCAAGAGAGAGAGAGAGAACACAAGAATCCACCTTTAAGCGAAAGAGTATTCGAGTATAAACCAAGAGCACTAAGCTTGTAACTCCAGTGCTGTCGAGAAAGCATTTGGAAGAAATACACTTTAGAAAAGGGCAATCCATATGATTGTTTTCATGCTGCCACACCAAAATGCACATTCCTTAAGCTTTCCTCATCGAAAAAAGAACAAGTTTTCGCATCCAAAGAGCCGAAATTCCGTGCACTGCCCTCCCATCCCTTAGCCCGCACGCCTCATTCGAAGCTCGAGATGTTACTTTTCTTAGTCTTTTCCGAAATCTGCACTGTAATGTGAACTCGACTCCAGTTTCTTGGCCTCGCTCAGCTTTCTCACCGCCTAAAATCGTTCGTTCCAGTTAAAAAGGAACGATTATCACAACGATTTGGGCGCAAAAAAGAAAAAAGGGTCCGGCTCAAATGAGTGAAGGACATTGTTTTTCGTGGTACCTTCATGAAATCTTCATGGATGACGTAGTCACGTTCTGCTCGGATAGCGGACATTCCAGCTTCAGTGCAGATATTACGCATATCAGCGCCATTGAATCCCTTTGGAAGTCAAGATTGAAGAGTTTTTTGTTAATAAAAGAACCAAAATTATGGAGAAGATACCGAGCAAGTAAAAAAAAAGCCTAACCTCAGCGAGTTTCACTATAGCCTCGTAGTCTATTTCACCATGTTTAGCAATACCAGCAGCGTGGATCTTGAGGATTTCCATTCTTGATTGCTCATTAGGTAAGGGGATCTCTATCTTCCTGTCAAGCCTACCCGGACGGAGAAGAGCAGGATCAAGAACATCAGGTCTGTTCGTGGCCATTATCATTTTCACCTGTGGAATAGTTCCGAGAATGAGAAAATTTTCGTGGGAAATAAAATTCAAACATGCGAATACAATCCCCACAGACTTGAGAACAAAGTGATGGGTATTACGGTATAGGCAATTTGTACGAGGCAGAGGAAAAAAATCATGAACTTGAGCATAAGGTTGGATCCAGAATTAGTATCAGATATACTAGACCCTACCTTTCCGAGTTGGTCAAATCCATCAAGCTGGTTGAGCAACTCCATAAGTGTTCTCTGAATTTCACGATCAGCACTAGTTCCCTCGCTGAACCGACGCCCACCAATAGCATCGATTTCGTCCATGAAAATGATGCAAGGCTAGCCATAAGAAAATAGCTTATAAGTAACTTAGCAGAGTGGTATAAAGAAGAATTCATACACCGGTGAAAGACAGGTTTTCACCTGGTGATCACGGGCATAGTTAAACATCTCTCGAATCAGCCTAGCACTTTCCCCAATATATTTGTCTATAATTGCACTAGAAACAACCTGAACAATGTAGAAAAAATATTTGTAATCTTAAGTATTGGGCATAATAGAAAAATCACAGAGAAGCATTGTGCAAAAAAATAAAACCTTTAAGAAGTTGGCGTCAATGTTGCTCGCAATAGCCCTAGCTAGTAGTGTTTTGCCAGTACCGGGAGGTCCATAAAGAAGGACACCCTAGCACGAGAAGAAGAAATTAGCATTATAATATGCTCTACTGGCTCAGACGTTTCACAACTCATACTGTCGATTACAAAATACGGAGGCAGTTAAAAGGGTAAAAACAATGGACAAAGGAAGATGATATATGCAATAAATTATACCTTTGGAGGCTTGATCCCTACTCTAAGGAAGAGTTCTGGATTCATTAGAGGTAGCTCAATAGATTCCCTAAGCTCTCTGATCTGATCAGATAAACCACCAACAGCTGAGTAGCTAATGTTGCCAGGGTCTTCATGAAGCATGCTATAAACAACAGGATCGACCTATCATCGAGGAGATGCCTCATTAATACCAGCAGATCAATCTAAAAACAAATGAAATAATCCAACAGACGTTAATATGAACTGTACTGTACCTCTCGAGGAAGGGCACGCATGATGGTTAATGTTGTCATATCGAGAACAACTCGAGTTCCCGAGGTCAGTTTCTCTTTATCTACCTTGCTGCGGCAACCCACCACGTAACGGGGGCCACTGCTTGCTTTGACAATCACTAGAACACAAGCAAGAAAATTTCAACCCTTGGATCACAAAAAGACAATAATAAAAGATTTAAAACAAGGCTCAGCAACCAAGAACTGCATAAGAAAAGATCTCAGGGGAAGGGGAAAGAGGGCATAAGTAGATGTGAAATATTACATCGTTCATTGTCCAGTGGTCGTAGTACTTCTCCAATTATCTGCCCAACACTTTGAAGAGACTTCAAATCATCCTCGCTTTTGTTGAATTCCTTCTTAGATGATCTTAGATTCTCCCTAGCTACAAAGATACAAACTCGAACTCAAAATCTGTGGAACTTGACGAGTGTCATCCCTAACCAAACAGCAAAAAGTCGAACAGGATTCTTCATACAAAACTCGACAAAAATCAAAATATTTCACCGAAGCAGCTCGCCAATGGGATTCGCAAACACTGATCTACATATCCATAAGTCTTTGCAGAAATGGTACAATAATTTAAGAAATTGAAGAAAAACCCTAGCATCCCGTCACTCGAAAGGTGCTTAATTCAAACAAATAAATCCGAACCTCTAGTAACCTAAAACGACGATGATTAAAGCATTCGGAGAAAAACCCTAGATCCAACTACCAAAACTATTCAAAGCAAGTCTAGGAAAATTCGCTAAACTAACGACCCTGATGAAATCATACGATGAAGTAAAGTAGGAGACATGTTGGGAAATCTAGGTTTTTCAAATCGGGAATTGCGAGGGCTAAACCTGATCGAACACGGGACTCTAGCTCCTTGTGCTGGAGAAGCTTCTTCCTGTAATCGGAAATCGCCGCAGTACGGCGTCTTGCGGCGTCGTCTCCGTCGCTCATTCTACCGGGAAATCCTTCTTCGACACAATCTCAACCGATCTTAAGAGACTGAAGGAAAACAATGTTCTTTCTGTTCAATCTTTTCTCTCTATAGTCTGTTGGTCGATTGGAAAATGTAGGCATGGACTAGAACGACGTCGCTTTAACCTTTTTTTTTTAATTTTAAATTCTTAAAAATATATAGTTAATTATATAATGATATTTCAAAATTATAACGGTCCTAAATTTTATGTTAATGTAAATATTATATCTTAAAACTATGTACAAATAATAATATAATAAATAATTTATCATTTTAAAAAATAAAGCTTTAAATATAAAACATTATAAACAAAACTATAATTATCCAACTACATGTTGGATAACTATTATGTTCAAAATATACAGATGGCGGAGTCCATATGTCTATTCCTATCAACAATTTAAAATAGGACAATTTAAATCAGTGATGATTGTTTGGATTCGGCTGTGCAAAATCAAAATTATTTGAACCGAATACTTATATAATTTAATATAAATATGAATATGTATTGATATACGAATAAATAAAATTTTTGTCAATAAAAATTGAATGGCAAACGAATTCGAATAGAACCGAACTAAACCAAATCTAGCCAATAGAATCTAATATAAAATCGAATAAATTTAATTGTTTAAATTACAAATTTTAAATTAAAAATAACCCGAAACATAAACTACATATAGACATTATATATATATATATATGCATATAGTGGAAGAGGAGGATGGGCGACTGACTGTGATGCCCTAACATTGAGAAAGCATATATTCTCCTGCTCCAATGTCTTGTCCTCTTCTCAACAACTTTAACATCTGTCTCTCTTTTCTAAAAACACATTATTATTTTTTTCATTGCTTTTAAGACCCTCCTTTTAAGGGCATTGCTCTTATTGCTTCTTTTTTTTCCTTTTTGACCTAGAAAAATTTTGTTTTTTCTAATAATATTAATCAACCAAAACCATCCATTAAAAAAAGAAAATAGAAATGAACTTGAAACACTAATCATGATGAAAAATGAATAATTGCATCATATATCATAGTCTCTTAGTTTTTTCATTAAACTTATTGATGAAGTTTTACTATAATAGTATGAACACAAAATATTGATCCGGTGGAATATTATCAAAATTTAGTATCGTGAAAACTTAGTTTCAGGATTCAATTTATGAATTAGATGATATCATTTTATTGGATCACCCGTATTCTCATTTCTTGAAAAATAAATATATGATAAAAATAAACATAATAAATCCGTAATTGGCTTTTCTAATCAATATCTAGACTCATCAAATTTGTTCAGAAAATCCATAAAATTATTCAAATCGGTTTGAAATTAGGATAAATCTGGTTAAAATGTTGTGGATTTCAATTTTATTTAAGATTTATACGATTTTCCCGCATAATTTGGAGTATTAATTAGACATTCGAATACTCTTTTCATAAGAAAAAAAACTATAACCTTCTAGAAAAAATCGAATATATATGTGAAAAAAGAAAACGTGGTTAATGAATTATGATGAAAAGACTAAAGTTGATGGCTTTGTGATTGTGCACGGTGAGAGGAGCCTTTGACCCTATTGTTTGACCATCTATGACTTTTTGAAACGGTGACGTATTACTTTCTCCACTTGATGATTATGATGGCCATTATGGAACCCTAACTATTCACCCATGTCAATACCATTCTACTCCACAATAATCACAATTTATAAACGGCAAATATAATTTGGTTAATGTAAGACAGATTGTTCCATGATATATAGTCAAACTATATATATATATATATATATATTCAAGTTATAATTTAATAATTTAATAGATCGTATCAATGTGAGAGAGCTTTGAGAGTATATGTTTGTAGGTTTTGATCGATTGGTGATTACAGCAGCAATTTTAATTACTCCCTTCTCGCATATTAAATCTCTTGCGATTTTCAATAAAAAATTTACAAAATTTTCCACACTTTTCCCCTTTCTTTACACGCTCATATTGATATATATACATATATATGCAATACACAAAACACGCATATAAATTTATATATATATATGGAGTCTGCTAATTTCCATCAGCATCATGAAGATCATCACTTGGAACTTGATGGGTCTTCTTCTTCTTCTTCCTCCTTAGACAACAGCAGTACTGACCCTTCTTGTTATGGAGCTTCCACTGCTTCTCATGATCAATGGCGTCCTGCTGGTGGTGTTTCTCTGTAAGTCTCCTAACTCTCAATCATCTCTTACATGATATACATATGCATATACATATATATATATATGTACACACACGCACATACACATGACCCGGATATACAGAGTCACACACGTGTAATGTGTATCTGTGTGTTAATGTCTCTCTGACTATTTCCAATGTCTATATATATATATATATATATATATTCAAGTTAGCCAATCCATTTTGCCTGTGCTATTGAAACTATTCATTAATCTGTTTTTATTTTTATTTTCTTTTATTTGTCCCGCATAATTGAAACTATTTGTTTTCCAAACATATATATAAAAATGTAATTTTCAAAATAGCAGAACATAAAATCTCCTTTTTTTTTGACGATTGCTTGTGGAAAACATGACATCACCATGAATGAAGGGTTATTACATCTTTGCGACGGGTTTTTTACTCAAATAACCCACTTGGGTCGCATCTATTTCACCTGTACACCACCGAAAACATAACACATTTTTTTTTCTGTGAAAAGATGAAATTACCCTTAATGAATTACGATATTTATCCGTTCGAAAACAACTTCGTTATTACGACTTCGTAATTAAGTCTAAATATAGTTACAATTGATTCTAAAAAAAGTGGCAAAAAAATCATCTGTCTTATTTTAGTTGTATATCAGTTATATGTTAGTAAGGTCGCAAAAAATAAAACGAAAAGGGTATTTCAGACTTTTCCAACCGAAAAGTGGGTTAAAATTGAAAAAAAAAAATTTCGGTGGTATAAACTGAAATAGATGCGATCCAAATGGGTTATTTGGGTGATTTTCCCCTTTGCGACACCCAAAAAAAAAATAATCATGGTGCTCCGTTGAGAACGCACGATCTCCATTGCAATCCTACCCGAAGAATTACGAAATTACCCTTCGATCGTGGAACTGATTCGGACACGAGATGCATGACAGCGACGACTCTCTTACATGTGGTGTTTGTTTTGTAAGATTAAACGTTTTTTTTTTCATGTCTTGTAAATGATAATTCTGTCCCTCATGGTCGTTGATTGCTACAGAAATTATAATGAGTATATATATATATAAGTAAAAGACTAAAAGTATTGAAATAATCATATCATTTTTCACTCTCTCATATTTTGCTGCTTTATTTATTGAAATGCAAACAGACCAAATCAATAGAGTTTAAAGTTAGGCTTTATTTGGCCTTCCTAGAGTATTAATATTATGAAAAAAAAAATTGTTATGTAAATGAAAAAAATGTAATTCGAAAATCCAAATCGAATTCAAAAATTGCTATCTAAAAATTAGATATCCTAAGGAAAAAAAGATACTTTTCAGAATAAACGTTTTGAAGTAAGCAAATAGATAACTGTTTGGTTTTCTAAATTTATTATGTATATTATCTTTTAGATCTTTTTTGTTAACGATTTTATATCTTACTTACATTATTAAAATCAATTCAAATCTATAATTGCAATAAAAGTCCATGCGTGAATTCTGGAGTTGCTCGAACAAGGAATAGATACCCAAGAGAAAATTAATTCAACCAATGGGTAGAACGAACCCTAATTAACTTCTCTAATCAAAGAGCGGGTCCACAGGACTTTCCGCTGTCTTCAGAAAACAGGCACATAAGAAGTACATATGTGTATATATACATATATATATATAAATTATATGTGTATATATGGATGCACATAAGAAGTAGTGGGGATCGATGAGAGAGAGAGAGAGTAGAGAGAGATGATGGGCATCATTTCTGTTGAGAGACAACTGTTGCAAAACCTTGGGATCGAAGGCATCATCTCTCTGGGACACTAATCACGGCTTTGAAGAATTATTAATCATCTCCCTGTAATTGCAGAGAAGAGTGCCAACAAAAAAGCAAAATTATAAATATAAAAAGAAAAAAGAAAAAAAGCATATACCCTAGAGAGAGAGAGAATAAAAAGCTCTTAAAAATTAATACCTAAAACAATTATTTTGTATTATTGATGGATTCTTTATGTCCTCCTTTCTTTTGAACGCTATATTGTTTTTTAACAAGATGATGGGTACTTGAAATATGTACTGTAGAGAGAGAGAGAGAGAGAGAGAGAGAGAGAGAGAGGGAGGAAGATGAGCTCAAAAAGCAAAGGCTTTTGATGGAATGGAGAGAGCTTTGAGAGTATATGTTTGTAGGTTTTGATCGATTGGTGATTACAGCAGCAATTTTAATTACTCCCTTCTCGCATATTAAATCTCTTGCGATTTTCAATAAAAAATTTACAAAATTTTCCACACTTTTCCCCTTTCTTTACACGCTCATATTGATATATATACATATATATGCAATACACAAAACACGCATATAAATTTATATATATATATGGAGTCTGCTAATTTCCATCAGCATCATGAAGATCATCACTTGGAACTTGATGGGTCTTCTTCTTCTTCTTCCTCCTTAGACAACAGCAGTACTGACCCTTCTTGTTATGGAGCTTCCACTGCTTCTCATGATCAATGGCGTCCTGCTGGTGGTGTTTCTCTGTAAGTCTCCTAACTCTCAATCATCTCTTACATGATATACATATGCATATACATATATATATATATGTACACACACGCACATACACATGACCCGGATATACAGAGTCACACACGTGTAATGTGTATCTGTGTGTTAATGTCTCTCTGACTATTTCCAATGTCTTTGGATATTCTTGGTATAACCATGACTTTATTCAAGAAAATTTGGGATCTTTCTTTTCCTTTTTTTCCCCGGAAAGGAAAATTTCTCGTAATTTTTGCGTTGTTTGCCACGGAAACAGTGTGGACTTGAGCAAGAACTACAGCAACGAGATGATAAACACAAAGGACCATAACAATGGCAGTGAATGCATGAGTTTCTCTCACATACATAACCACCCCTTTCTCCAACAAGACTTGTCTTTGCAATGGCATCATAACCAATCTTCTTATGATGATGATGACGATGACCATCATCATCATCAAGATCACCATAATAATCACCATACTCTTTCCAAGATAAAAAAAGAGCTCTCCTCATCATCAGATCAAATTCAAGCTGACAATATCCCCACGTTCACCGACATGATAGGCACACCATTGGCTACAACAAAGTACTTGAGGATCAACGAACACAACGAGGACTTCAACGACATGCCAGAGAAACTTCTTCTTAAGACAGTATCTTCCGGTTTCCCTATAAGTGGGGAGTATTATAACTACTCTTATAATTCCCCATCATCATCATCATCATCATCATCATCATCATCTTCTCATAGAGGGAGTTTCAGCCAGATTTATCCGAGCGTAAACATCTCGAGTTTGAGCCAGTCCCCAAGGATGAACATGATGAATATGAACATCCCAAGACCATATGACATGAACATGCATGTTTTGGATGGAAGATTGTTTAGTGGGAGTGGTTTAGTTAATAATGGTAACCAATCAGAGATTAGTCTTGAGATAATGGGCAGAGGAAGCTTGCCTTTTGGCCTCGGTGATCATCATTTGCAGCAAACTATTCAACCCACTTGTACTCCCACTGATCAAGTAAGTATTAAATTACTCCTAATTAATTAGCTGTTTTCTCTTTCCTTTCAATATTGAAGTCAGAGTTCACTTCTTATTGAGAATGAACAATTTCTGAAGATAACTCAGAAAATTTCATTAGAAAAGATATTCACAGTAATATACACCAATATTAATTAGTGATTCTATGAAGACCAAATCTTCTAAGGATGATATCATATACCTGATTATAACATATTATGTAACACTTTATACGGATATGCTATCTGGTATACTAAGATTACTGACTTTATATCATATCTCTTTAAGTCAATTCAGAGAAAAAGAAACATCTAGCATTAAGGAAAAGTATTTTAATTTATTTGAAGAAGGAAGGTAGGTGCAAAGATATTTGTAACAGATATATAAGTTTTAATTTCGGCATGCATTTTTTCATGAATGTATGTGTGTATATGCTCATGATATATTCTTCATCATAGAATTGATTCTTTCCAATGAAGGTTGATTAATTAAACTGGTCTTAATTAACGTTTCACATGTCTCGTGTGATTGAGTTGTTTTTATATAGAGATAAACTAGGGAAAAAGGCAATTGAAATTAGAAAGTTGCTAAAAAGATCAAAATATTGTAATGATATATACACTAATTATTGTACATTAATCACGGAGTATGTATAAAGTTGGAAACCTTTGTGTTGAAACAAAGCTATGAAGCAATATATATATATATATATGTATATATATATATATATTTATATATATATATATATATATATTTATATATAT